AATTTTTTTAAATAAAAATTAGACAGAGGAGGGAGGGAGACAGAGCATTAGAGACAGAGCATTAGCTCCCTCAATTAGAGAGGGAGACAGAGCATGAGTAGGGGAGGGGCACAGAGAGAGGCAGACACAGAATCCGAAGCAGGCTCCAGGCTCCCAACTATCAGCACAGAGCCCAATGCGGGCTCGAACTCACAAACTCCGAGATCATGACCTGAGCCAAAGTCAGATGCTCAACTGGCTGAGCTACCCAGGTGCCACTCCCCTCCCCACCCAGAAAAACGTTTTGTAGACCAGCAGGATGTAGTTCCTGCCTTATAGAGCGTGCATTTTCTCAGAGAATTGTGGGGTCTACCAAATACACTGGTTTGGAAACCCACCGTGGATTACGATTTTTATTTTTCCACCTGAAACAATGCCACAATAACACAACCCAGAAGCCTAATCTCTGCCCACAGTTTCTTGTCTTTCTGCTTACGTGTAGGTGTAGTAATGGAAGCACATTCCCCCAGACTTTACTCATTCTCTAAAGATGGATATCAATCATATATATCTTCTTTATCTCCCTGTCGACACAACAGTTTTGTGTGTGTTTTTTAACAGTTGGGTGTTTTTGTTTTGTTTTTTGACGCAACAGTTATAAAACAACTTCATCTGAAAATTTTCTGGGATTGATGTTACTCACAAAGTAATTATTTTACAGAAATACCTCTCCATGGGAATAATAAAGTTAATCTGTTTGACTCTGTCTTCTTCCCGGAGTTTCTGCCAACCTCCTAGCAGTGTTCAGGTTGTAGAAGAGGTTAGTTCCTAAAAGCATATACATTCCCGCAAGGGAATGATTCTTTGCATTTTTCAACTTTTTTTTTTTGTTAAAGATAATTGGCACCAGGGGCACCTGGGTGGCACAGTTGGTTAAGCGTCAGACTCTAGGTTTTGGCTCAGGTCATGATTTCGCAGGTTCGTGAGTTCAAGCCCCATGTCAGGCTCTGCGCTGGCAGCATGGAGTCTGCTTGTGATTCTCTCTCTCCCTCTGTCTCTGCTCCTCCCCCACTTACACTGTGACTCTCTCAAAATAAATAAGTAAATAAATAAACAAACAAACTTAAAAAAAAAAAGACAATTGGTACTGAGTTGGTCAGTGGACGATTTCTAAGGTTTTCATTATTTCTGGTGCTCCTCGTCTCCAAGGATTGGGTATGCTGGGAAGGTATGCTGAACTACTGAGGGCGTGGGTGGGTAAAAAGAAATGGAAGAATAGCAAATGTTGATGGTGGCTACTGCCAAAAAGAGACAAGGGATCAGAATGGGGCAGAGAGGTGAAATGGTGATGAAGAGATCTACCTTCCAATCTGTATACTTCCATATTGAGTTTTTAAACAAGAACATATTGACTTATTACCTGCATAACTAGGAAAAAGTTGATAGAGGCACATATAAAGAAACACTATATGGCTGATATGTTATATTGACAGACCATTTAGATAGTCTTTAACAAAATAATCAAATCCCCCAAATATCCTGACATTTTCTAATGGCTCCTTGAAGCTGTTTCTCCTTGCTAGATGCCTTGTGCAGATTAGTACCTCCTTCTTTCATATAACCATCCTAAACAAGGACACAAAGTTTTTTCACATTTTTCCTTGGATCATCACATGGTTTTAGCCACTTACAAGCCATTGGCTGTTAACTTTCCTACGCCACGCTAAGGAAGTCACAGGTCACCAGCCCTCCCAGGGTTTCTCTTCTCTAGAAGAGAAGATAGATATACCCAATAAAACTGCTGTCTCCTGCCCTTTTCTCAGTCTTATCCCTATAATTCAAAGCGTTCTGCCCTATTTGCCTGAGATGATTTGAGATGAGAGCACCTTAAAATAAGACACTGAGTGCCTGACATGTACTGCTAAACCTCTAGTCCTTATTCTCTGACCTTCGGACATGCCTTCCCTACTTCACACTTGTCTGAGTGGCATTTCCCTTGACTGAAGTCATTCTCTACCTCAGCTAGTGGGAAGGATTTCTCTCTGTTGAGGGCCCTGCTGTAGCTCTACAGGCAGCCTACGCTCACAGTGCATTTGAAATCACTAGGAAGTGTCACTAGTAGTAACTAAAAGCTGTCCTTTGAATTGTACCTCTGATTGGCTGTCGAACAGCAGTCTGAGCTCGTTCTGTGCCCTCCCGCGGTCTCCCCCTGGCAACCCAGTTAGAATCTGCGCCTTTCTCAGACCACATTTTGTTACATTTCTAATATTACAACATAATCATGTCATTTCCCTTTGCCCTGAAATAAGTGAGGGAAAAAAAATCTTATTTTCCCCTAGAACCCACCACTAAAATGCAGAGGGTTGGACCACTCTTGGCTTCCACACAAATTAGAGCTCCTCAGTTGGTTATTAGACTCTTCTCTCAGGCCATTATGAAAGATGAGAGAAGTTCAGGGCTTCTGGAGGTATAGTTTCCTCAGCTGTATGTCCTCAGGGGAGTCAATGACCTTGGCAAAGACTCATGCAAGCAAGCTGCTGGTTCTCTCCCGGCTGTGAGTAGAAGGGGTGGGACTGCTGACACTATGTCAGGGAGAAGCCTGCCTCATGGGACAACCCAGAGGTGGCCTGTGAAGAAAGTTATTCCCTCTTTAAGAAATAAGCAATGTGGGGCGCCTGGGTGGCGCAGTCGGTTAAGCGTCCTACTTCAGCCAGGTCACGATCTCGCAGTCCGTGAGTTCGAGCCCCGCGTCAGGCTCTGGGCTGATGGCTCGGAGCCTGGAGCCTGTTTCAGATTCTGTGTCTCCCTCTCTCTGACCCTCCCCTGTTCATGCTCTGTTTCTCTCTGTCTCAAAAATAAATGAACGTTAAAAAAAATTAAAAAAAGAAATAAGCAATGGGCATGCATGCTGATGAGTTACGCAATACCCTCATTTACTCCTCACAAGGCATTATGATTTCATTTTATAGACAACGGAACTGATAATTAGCGAGGCTAAGTAACCTGACAAATGATAATCACCTAGCAACTGGGAGAGCTAGGATTTGAACCCAAGTCTTCCTGCAAACCACTCTTTGAGGTCTCTTCCTTAACTGCCTATTAAGAAATAATGCCTAGGGCACCTGGGTGGCTCAGTCAGTTGAGCATCCCTCTCTTGATTTCAGCTCATGTCATGATTCCAGAGCTGTGGGATCAAGTCCTGCTTAAGATTTCCTTCTCTCTCCCTCTACCACCCCCACCCCTATGCGTGCATTTGCGCGCTCTCTCTCTCTCTCAAAAAAAAAAAAAAAAAAAA